CCAGTGTGCCCTGTACATGTCAGTCCAATATCTTAAAACAACACATGCAAGGCTTTGCTACAGCCAATTACCCAGCTCTTGGCACGGAAACCGAAAAAACATCTTCGGAGAACAATAAAGAGAGCTTGGCTTGTTGTGCATGCTGTCAGTAAGTGCTGACAGATTGTTATTTTTAATGAATATACAGCACTTGAATGGCCCATCAAGAGGTCTTTGAGCAAACATTGCTCCTTTGTTCAGAGCATTAATTTTCTAGGTAACAGCCAGATATCTTACAATGAAACTGATATCAAGGACTGTGAAGGAAAAAGCTAAATCAGTTTATCCACTTGCTTTCTTACCATTCACCGCCTCCTCTTTTCAGCCATTAGACAATAAACAAGGCAACACACTTTTCTGATTATAAACCTGATGTGTAAAGATGCTTGATTACCCATTATTTACTGTGTTGAACTGAAAAGCAGACATCTCACATACTGTGTATGAAATCCTTGAACAAAATACAATCACCTTTCTTTGAAACACAAGAGCCCTGCTGAAAGTAAAATGACTCTTTTACTGTACAGACTAGCCACACCAATGATAGGTTATAGCACCATCCTGTGCTGCAACACAATGTCTCAAATAGCTCTGAGACTAGACCCACACATTACAACAGGGAATCATCTTTCATGACAATTGGTGGTGAAGGAAAAATGCAGTGACGGCATCTAGGTGAAAAACAGCAAGATGCCACTCGAGCGCAGCGTGTAAACACCGAATTCCTAAGCATGTGTATTGACAAATCATCCAACAAAGAGATGTCAGAGCACAGTGAAAAGGGATTTTCCATAACATTGTCTGGCCTTCCATTTGCCACATAATACTCACAGGAAGCTGCCATTACTGAAACACACATTAGTCCTTAAAGAAAAATAGTGGGTTTATTGCACTTCTCTTATCATTACTCTGCTGCTAGCCCAGTTAGATTAACAGTCGATGGGCAGGGTGTGTCACTGTGATTCAAAGTAATTTTACCACTGCTGCTTTTGAGATGCCATTCAAAATGAAACAACAAACACTGACCTCCTCTGACCTTTGAACTCACCACCTGGGAATAACATGAAAGAAACAAACTAGAGAGATGAATACCACATATGGTCCATTTTAAGCAATTCAAAATTATCCTCTTGGGTGAACCTAAAGAATTCTCCTTCTACAAAAACCATAAACCAAGCATTAAGGTTCTTTTCTGTCAGAGATGTGCTACAGTAGTAATCAACATATAGCCTGTAATGCAGACCTCTGTAGCCGCCTAGCAGGTTTACAGTCTAAGTGCTACTTAAAGAAAATCTAAATCACATCCACTAAACTACTGTCTGAATTCAACGTGACCAAAACATCAGATGCGCCATATCCAAGACCTGAGCAGCTCAACAAGTTAATCAACTGCAATACAGTGAAATCTACAGTCTGATTGAACAGGTTGTGGTTTAAGATGTTTCTTTTTCAAAGACAAAGACATATTAAGCATTTCATTTGATAAATAAATTCACAGTCTTATAACAAACGCTATTCCTCACAAAACATGTCTGCCCATATGGTTGTATATGTTCTAAGCAAGTAAACCACAGTATGTAATTATCACAGACATCACAGATGTTAGCAATGTGTAAATTCAGTTCAGTGACCTCTCTTTACAGTGTCATGTCATTATTAGGAGAATGAAGAGGTGGCAATGACTGGACAGTTATAGTACTAAAACCTGCCTGTGTTAGGTTGTTTACAGTCATTAAACATAATGCTTTACAATGCAGCGCTGTCAAGATCTCAGGTATTTATTAGGTTAATAAAGATTTCCTTATAGCCAGCACTTTGACAAGTAAGTAAATGTGGCTTTATTGTCAACATTTAATCACATTCTTTCAGTGGACAGAAAATAGCTTGGCATTTATTGTGCAAAACAAAAGTTTCTCACTCCTCTGATCATTGAGCATAGCATATGTTCATTAGTTACAGTGATATCTACAGTTGGGCAGCGCTATGTAGGCTGTACAAGGCGAAAGAACGTGAATAAGTCAGAAGTGAGTCATAAGTACTCAATAAAAATAAATCACTAGCTTTTAATAGCTCTGCTTTTTTTAGGTTAGAGAAATCAAAATGGACATAAGCCACCTTTAGAATGTTATTTTTAAAAGGCATATTACGCAGAATTTTTATTGCCAAGGAAGTCGATGAATTATCTTTTATCATTTTTAAACTTACAAATTATAACTTAAAAAAAGACACCTCACTGATAGAAGCACCAACTCAGCAAATACCACTGTTCTTGTACCTTACATATTCCCTACTGCTACTAAATGTTTGGAACTACTCTGAACTGCCTGTCAGAGGTGAAAATACTTAATGCCAATTGTGCTGGTTCAATATGTTGACAAATTTCTCCGATGAAGACTTTACAAGCATTGCATCTTTTTTTCACAAGCCAGCATGTGTGTGGTCTTATCCGGTGTTACTTTTGTTTACCGCCAACCCTGAGCAAACTCGTAAATAATTACAAACTGTACACGAGATAATAATTGAGAACAAGTCTGCCACACAAAGACAGCAAGTTAGCTTTGCCAGCTAACGTTTCCAGAGCTAATGACAATAGCTGAATGGGCTCAGACTACTCTCTGCAACAGAGATGCTCCACAGGATAATTCAAAATGGGAAAGCGCTTGCTAGGAGGTGTACAAGGTCAGGTGCATGTTAAAATCAAAACCCGTTTAATAAAATAAGGTCCCGTTGTTCGCAGTGCATGTGCTCTATGCTAACCAGTGTCAAGAAGCTATTTGTATCCAGACATTACACTGCACCTACTTGGCATTCCCAATCAGTGCTAGTCACTGGAGCTAGCCGCTAACGTTAGTTCATGGTAACTAGCAACAGCAAGGGGCAAACAAGTCTATCAGCTAACTAGCTAGCCGATGCTAATTAGCCAAATAGCTAGCAAGCAAGGGTGTACGTTAACAGTCGAACGTTTGCAAACTATTCCTTCATATTTGTCATTTCTTCCTTGTCTGCTGATGAACGTCAAAGGCAAAGAAGACGGCTGGTTGCAGCTCAGCACTTACCTTAAAGAGCTTGATCTACAACATCTGTGGTTTGTTTGATGAGAGACTGCAAACAATAGCAGCAGCAGCAGGGGCAATTAGCCAACGTTAGTTAGCCAAGTGTCGCCACCACAGAGAGTAGCACAACAGCTGCAGTGCCACCTGTATTTCTGTTCTTATGTCGCTAACGGAGCGGACAACGTTTGGTATAATGTTGTCATAAATGATGAACTTGAGAATAAAGAGGGAGTAATCGTTGCCGGGATGCTCAGACTAGTGTGTGTCAGAAGCACTCAGCATGACAGCATCCTTCTTCATCTTGGGGTGAGAACAGTTGGGGGGTTCTCAAAGTTCAACCGGTAAAATACCGTCACCCACCGGTCAAAACTGGGAACATCCATCGAGAGAGTCCTCAGGATGTCTTGGTCTGTCTTCTTTCTCAGAAACGCGTGACACTGCCAGAATATGTTTGGACTGTCGATGAGTGCAGGAAAAGAGAATATAATAGAGGATTTAAGTGAAGTGCTTTACTGAATATGCGTAAAAATAGCCTAATGGTCCTGAATTCAAAATGTTGCATAGCCTAAGTAAAACTATAAAACTATTAGCATCAACACAAACGCTACTTAAAATACTAAATTAAAAGTAGGCTACTCATTATGCGGAATGACAAATTTCACATTAATACATAACCTATATGATACTATTGAATTCAAATCATTAATGCATTACTGTGTACATTACATTTAATGTTGCATCTGTAGCTATTTAGTTACTTTCCACTGCTGTATTTTACATTATATATAACGCATACTGTAGCTAAAAACCAATAAGAAAAAAACAATAGCCCTAAGATAGGCCTAGAATAGAACCAACCAAACAGCGATATGGATATATTATGAAAGAATGATGGGAAGAATTATTTAGAAAATATCTAAACAACAAACCACATACCACTACAATTTAAATTAAATCCAGCATTGAAAGGAATTGTAACATAGATCTCTAAATGAGGTAAAATAGTTACAAATATAAACTTCATCACAAATTAGAAAATAATAATTATGTATTCTAGAATAACTGAAGTTTTATGAGAATGCAGCAGCAACCGCTTTCACTGATGTTTGTTTTACTAACAGCACATGCACATTATGTATTTGTGGCATGTATCAGGTTGGCAGGTGGGTTTCACCTATTTTCATCACTGCTCCTTGGGGGAGGGTATAGGTGCTGTGGAAACACTCTTTGTACATTTTGAATGGTTTATGTTAAGCTGTTTGAATTATTCTTGTCACATGCCTATAGGCTAGTATAGTCTTAGTGTAAATGACTTAATTTCTCAGATGCACCATCTCTGGTGCTTTCAGACATCATTTCTGCAGGAGCTGTCTTCAGCACGTTTTTCTGGTTTGCAGTTATTTTTTGGTTGAAAATATGATTTAGGTTTTTATATATCTACAACAACTTTTTGAAACATACCTAAATGTTTTAATGAGTCAGAATAAATTAAATCTTATGCTATGTTCTTGTGATCAGTGGTGGAAAGTAACTACATTTAGTCTACTCAAGTAGTACTATACTTAAGTACAATTTTGAGTTTTTTGCAGCCTACTTTACTTGGGTATATTCATTGTGTGCTGCTTTATACTTCAACTTCCCTAGATTTTAGAGGTACAAATTGTACTTTTTACTCCACTACATTTATTTTTGTAAGTTTTTTTTTGTTATTTTTCAGAATCAGATTAATTAAAAATAAAACTATACAATCATAACACTTTATTGATCTCTGGTGGAAAATTCACAAGCTATGCAGCAATAATTCAAATTACAGGCTAAGCTAGTGAAGAGTAGCTCAGCTTTTAATTAAAACCCAATAAAGTGAAATGTCCCATTCTGCATAATGAGTACTTTTACTTTCAGTACTTAGTTTGTTTCAATGGTAATTTGTAGGCTAGTTTTACATAAGTAACATTTTGAATGCAGTACTTTTACTTTAAAGAAGCTACTTCTTCCATCACCGCTTGTGGTAAAAACATTTTAGTTGCCCTGGTGCTGCTACCGTTTTCTCTGCAAGGAGTGTTAGAGAAGTGTGTACTCCTTAGATCAGACCACTAGATGGCGCAGATCTCAAAGAAAAGAAATTAAGCATAGCCAGCTCAAAGAAACCCACGAATTTCCGACTATAATAACATGCTTTAATATCGATGGTCTAGTCACCCACATTTACTCTCTAGAGTTGTAACCTTATGTGAAAGCTGCTTGAAATCGTTCACATTTAAGAAAGATTTAGGTTAGCTATGTGTCACTACAAGTCTGCAACAGAGGACTTCACTGGCTCTGTGTATGCCACTGTACAATAGACATCATCTTTGTGATACATCTCCTTGGTGATGGTTAAACAATAGGTATAGGTTCAGACAGGGCTCACAAAAGGTTCACTGGTGTGGCACAGACCCAGCAGGCAATCCCCTGATGTACCATACTACTGCTGAATAGAGGCTCATTTATCTCGGCAAAGCTTAGTCTTAAAAAAAGACCCAAAAGACCCCACATACAGCTTCTGGGTTGTTTTTTTTTTCTCCCCTGGGTTGTAGAAATGTCCCAGAGCACCGAGCTCATGTTTCTGCCTGTCTGTCCTCTGATTACATCAACACACTTCAAACAGACAGGAGCAGTCACTGATGGCAAAGTAATTAGGTCTTGATGATTTGTGGCTATAATTTGACTGCAATCATTATGAGCTACAGCAAGAATATACAAGTTTTTTTTTTTTATTAAGATATTTTAAAAACTTCAGTTTTTTTTTTCCTTTGGGTGTCAGTTACAGAGTTATAAATCCATCCATCAGCTATACCACTGATCCTTAAGAGGGTCACAGGGGGGTTTGGAGCCAATCCCAGCTGGTATTGAGTGAGAGGCGGGGTACACCCTGGACAGGTCTCCAGTCTCACAGAGCTGACAGAGACAGAGAACCACACCCCCACACTCACTCCTATGGGCAGTTTAGAGTCTAAATTATAAACTCATCAATCGATACAATCATTCAAAGTTAAAACAAGGCTTTAGTATGAAAATAAAATGCAATCACAAAACATTTCAAACTATATTGTTTATTATATATTTCTGGCAGATGTGACACATTGCATATACAGTACTCTTACTGATGCTCGAGGCAGAGCCATACTAAAGTTACAGTAGCTCAAATACTCGGAGGACCAAAAAAACCACTACCGCCCACAAGAAGCTAAACAAAAGTTTCTCACACAGCTACACAGACACAGGAACCAACACTATTCAGGAGCTAAAGCATAGCTTGAGGATGAGCTGAACTGTGGCTGTACTACGATGTACTGTAGCTTCCCCCCCACCACAGGCCACAGACTTGGACCTTGGATTTCAGCAGTCTTCTTTCCATCTTCACTCCAGACAGGGCAGGTGACCTAGTGTGATGTGTGGGGTTACTTATGAGCAATGAACACACATAGGCCCAGGGAGCAAGAAATGCTCAGATGGGGTGTCTGAAGTTCTGGCCAGCAAAGCGGGCTTTGTCGCCAAGCTCCTCTTCAATCCTGAACGAGAATGATGACAGTTTGTTATGGTGAACAGATCTATAGCCTCAGAAAATGTGCAATATTGGCACCTTGAAGAGTGACAAACACAGTGGTGGAAGAAGTACTCAAGACCCTTTACTTAAGTAGCAATACAACAGTGTAAAAATATTCTGTACAGATTCCTCAACACTGTACTTAAGTACATTACTTGAGCAAATGTACTGAATTACTTTCTACCACTGCAACCATACAGCTACTGTTCATAAAGTTCTGTGCATCTGTGTGCATATTTTTAGACCAGACTCACCTGAGCAGCTGGTTGTACTTGGCCAAACGCTCAGATCGGCAAGGTGCACCCGTCTTGATCTGGGAAGCAAATGTAATGACATGCAATCTGTCATCTAAAAGTTACAACTGTAGTACAGTTTGAATAGTCAGCTTTAAAAATCTCAACATTACTGACATCAAGCTAATATTTTTTACCTGTCCAGTGCAGAGACCAACCACCAGATCAGCAATGAAGGTGTCCTCCGTTTCTCCAGAGCGATGGCTAACCATCACACCCCAGCCACTGCTCTGGGCCATCTTGCAGCTAAAAGAGCAGTTACATGTAAGCCCTGTAAGCCAGCTGACACGCTAACATTTGCAAACCAGTGTGATCACATTGCTCTGTTGTGGACACTCACGCCTTCAGAGACTCGGTAACAGAACCGATCTGGTTGACTTTAAGCAGCAGGCAGTTGCAGGCCTTTTCACTCACAGCCTTGGAGATGCGTTTGGGGTTGGTGACGGTGAGGTCATCACCCACCACCTGGATGGAGGTGCTGGCTGTAAATTTGGACCATGCATCCCAGTCATCCTGGTCAAAGGGGTCCTCAATGGATACCACTGTTAGGACAGGAAGAGGGAAAGAACAAGTGTTATGAGCATTCACATAGCAAACATCTTAAGAGGACATACTGGTCAGCAGCCATTTTTAACAGAAACTGATTTTTTGGCCACTTGAGGGCAGTGTAACAAATAGCTAGCTGATCCACTATGTTCAAAGCTAGCTGCCAACTGTGACAGTAGAGTATAGTGGGTTTCAGAGCTTGAGTGTGAACCAAAGCATTACATTTGCAGACAGAGCACATGCACATATAGTTCTGTTTATACTATAATGGATGCATACTATCCTGCAGTATACTGGATTTATTTAAGATGAAAAAGCTTGATAAAACTAGTCTGGTTACATGTCATTCATGCTTAAATGGACATCTGTTAATACCTTGTAATCTTTTTGATCTTGGAGTGCAGCAACCACAGGTCAAAATAAGGGTTTTCAGGCTGTAAATCAGACCATATGTGTTGAAACCCTACCACGGTAATCTTTGACAAAGCTCCTGTAAACGTCAGCCAGCTTGTCAGGGGAGATGTAGCGGCTTGGGTCGTCAGGAGACTTGAAGTCCAGGTCATACTTTCCATCCTTGTAGAACTCTGAGGCAGCCACATCCATGCCAATAACAATCTTTTCTGTGTAGCCAGCCTTGGCAATGGCATTCTTCAGCAGATCCAAAGCTGAGACAAAGACAACACACTACAGTAAAATTGTGACAGATGTTGGTAGAAAAATTAAAAGGTTTCCTTTTCACAAATAGCGAAAACTCTGCTCCACTGTGGAATTTGCCACATCAGTACCTTGACTTGACACTGGAGTCAGAGTCTGGCACTCAGTGCATTTGGTACCGAGTTAAGGCCTAAATTTAGAGACCATGTGTCTGCCCAAGAGTGATGGGATAAGTGAAGTACCCTCATTGGGAAGTCTAAGAATGTACTGCTTTCAAGACAGATCACAACAAGAAATGTATTAACTACTCTGCTGCCTTGTAATGACGCTCCTATCATTCTGATCTTTTCCACTCACCTTCCTTGTTCTCCAGGATGTTGGGGGCAAAGCCTCCCTCGTCTCCTACATTGGTGGCGTCCTTGCCATATTTGTCCTTGATGACATTTTTCAAGTTGTGGTAGACCTCAGCACCAATACGCATGGCCTCCTTGAAGTTACTGGCTCCTACTGGCAGGATCATGAACTCCTGCATGGCCAGCTTGTTGCCTGCATGGGAGCCTCCATTGATTACATTGAAAGCCTAAAAGGGAAGTAGAGAGGAGCCACTTTAAATTTAATGGAATATAATGATTGTTTGGATAAATGCTGATGGTACATGCCTCTTAGGCCTCTAAGCATCAAGAGTTTATAAAAAGCCTGCGGTACATGACTTGGGTAATTGCACTATCATGCTCACAGGCACTGGGAGGATGACTTCAGCGTTGCCAGCCAGGTCAGCAATGTGGCGGTAGAGGGGAACGCCCTTCTCTGCTGCACCAGCCTTGCACACAGCCAGGGAGACGCCCAGGATGGCATTAGCACCAAACTTAGCTGAGACAGGACAGATAAAAATATTTCAGTGTATTGTGTGTACTTTTTTCCAAGACTACATGTATGAAACACTACTGTCTGACATCTGTATTATTCACTGTTTTTGCCCAGTACTGTCTGGGCAACATAGGGTAAAATGAATAATACATGACCTAGAAGTAATAAAGTCCTGACTAATATTTCTGTTATATAAACATAAGGTGCAAGTGCATATTGATGTCTGTGTAGTCTTTTAAAAACACCTGAATGTTAAAAATACAACTTGGTGTCTGATGGTCCCTGTGTAATGGACACTCAGTTTTCTCTAGAGTGAAACCAGTATAACCAGGTTATAGATAAAATAACCAGATGGAAGTTTTGTTTGTGGTTAATCCTACAAATTAACCATCTGAAGAATTAAGATGTTTCAACACTCTGGTGTAGAAACATCCCCATAAAACAGAATCCTACAAATGTAAAGTAGCATCTTACACTTGTTTTCTGAGCCATCCATGTCCAGCATCAGCTTGTCGATCTTCTCCTGTTCCAGAACGCTCACATTCTGCATTAGAAATAACATGACAAGTTACACGTTATATTTGTAGATAGGTTATCTCGGTTTAATTCCAGCTTGTTAGTTCACAAAAACACTCCTGTGATGTTAGAATAATCACAGCATCTCAGAATTTTCCCATCGAAGCTCTGATAATGCAACTGTTCATAGATATCCTATCATGTTTATAGATGCAAAGGTTATAAAACAATGAGGTTAATGCTCAGATAAAGGAACAACTAGCCACTGCTTAATGCGAGTTTTATGCAGTATTTTACCCATTCTTTTCAAATTGTGCACTTGAAGCTGACACAAAGTAATATTAGTCAAACAATAAATGGTCCTACCTTGCTAACCAGTGCAGGTGCAATTGTGTTATTGATATGCTCAACAGCTTTTGAGACACCTGCAAGGGGACAAGCAGACCATGACTGAACAAGACAGAAGAAGGCCATGCAGAGCAGGCTACACAGAAGACTACAGAGCACCTCACCTGATCCTAAGAGGATGCAACTTTAAAGATAATCGTGATGAGAACTATGACAACTTGACAGCTTAAGTACCATCTGTGATAGTACGCTTAATTAGATTTTTTTTTTTATTTTTTATTAAAAGATCGGTGTTAGTGCCTGCTAAGGTTAGTTTCCAAAGGCACACCCATTCTTCATGCTGCCATGGACAGGAATACATTAAGGAGTCATCCTGTTATTTGACACATTATTTACCTGGTTACACAATGCAGGGCCCAAGAAGTCATTTACATATTTAACTGCTCTTTTGACTCCTACCAGGAGGAAGGGAGATGGAAGAGTTGAAAATGAAGAAATCAGAGGAGATGAAAGACAACAGAATGTGTAATAGTGTTGAAATTGCATTAAAGTTAAGAGCAAATGAGAAGTAACCTGACAGTTTATGGCAGGAATCAGTGAAGACATCTTACCTTTGCCCATGAAACGCGTTTTGTCATTATCACGGAGCTCCAGAGCCTCATGGATGCCGGTGGAAGCACCGCTGGGCACCGCAGCTCTGAAAAGACCTTGGAGACACACAGGGCAATTTGCAGCTAAAGTGCTGAGTAATGTCAACACACACACACACACACACACACACACACACACACAAAAAAACTACAGTTTAAGTGCTTCAGTGTAATTGTTACCAGAGTCACTACCATGATAAACAGGTTTAAGTTTGAGGTCTGATATAATCATGTGGTATTTGTCAGCACAGAACAACTTCAGCAGAAGTGGCTCCTTTGTATTCAAGCTACAGCAAGAAAAGGGCATAAATGGTGGCCAGTGGATCAGCTCAAACTATCCCCTACCACACTAGTATTGTCCATTATTTTTCTGTCCAGGGCGAGACACAAAATGTGTGGAAGAAGTGGTACTGATTGTGCTGCAGCAGGCTGTGATGTAACAGGGGAAGACAGGCTGCCCACTGAGCATGTGCAGTGCCTCTGCAGAACGATGCCAAGGCACGCCCATACATAAGAGGAAGGCCATTATGGATTCACCCATGTGAAGAGAAATTGGGGAAATGCAAAAATCTATTCAGTTGGCTCAATAGACAGGCAGGGATGGTGTGACTCTGAAGGGATTTATAGCTTAGGACAGGGGGAGGCCATGAGTCCAGGCTTAACAAATCATCTGGCTGCAGCTGGGGGAGGCTGGCAACAATCATACTAACAACAAGCATAAGAGGTTTTCTAGTATGCCTGTGACGAAGAGTCAAGCTGATTATGTAACACAGACACCACAGTAGCCGTGCAAAGTCTCACTAAAGTGGTGCAACACTTCCAAAGTAGAGCTGCAGAACACAGTGGTTGAGCCAAGGCAGTGCATCATGTTCCATGCTCACTTCCATGTCAATAGTCATTCAGGTTGCTTCATTAACATTCTCTGGACATTTGGTGGGTTGACCTATTATTTTGTTTTAGCTCTCACAGCAGGCTAGATTGCCAAAAAACTTCAGTCACAGTCCAGCCCTTAGGCAACTGAATAAACTGACCTCAACTTTAGACAAACATGTCACACAGCGTGGGACTTAGAGGTTTTATGTCAGCAGCTTCACTGTGCAGCATACAACTAGACGAGGGAAGCATACTGTAGATTTAATTCACCCGACACCTCTACCTTGTATGTAGTGCTATCTGTGCTCTCAAACAGGAACCATTACAGTAACAGAGTGCTGTAGAGGCAGTGTGATATTACAGGAGCTATTTTCACACATTCACCATCTGACCTGGTTCTCTCTGGGCCTGGAGCTGGCAACAGAGTCACCACACTGGCTTTACCATCCTAATCTACACCTTAACTAGATTTTACTAGCTATGTATTAGGCAAAACATACAAAAGATAGTTATGTCAATCTTGGCTACAATTTTTAAGCTTAAACAGTACTTGAGAACATGTATATCAAACATACAATACCTTTCTTGGTGAAAAGATCAACCTCCACGGTGGGATTGCCACGGGAGTCAAAAATCTCACGAGCTTGGATCTTGAGGATGGACATGGTTCTGGATCTGCAGATAAAACAACAGGAAACAGACATCAGTATAGTGCTTTTCACAGGCCAGAGCAGACACCTTGCACTGGAACTTACTGAATCACTGCATCAAGCCAAAGCAGTCAGTTGGAAAAATTTAAGAGCTCAATCATAAACCAGGAACAATTTCTAGATGGAGTTTGGAGACAAAGCTATAAACCATCTCATGTATTCTCTAATTAAATGCATTTCGTAACCAGGGCTGGCCAGGATGGTGAAGATTAGTCACAGAAAGGTGTGGCTTATGCAGCAAAAACACTCTGCATCTCTTTTCAGTTTACTTAATATAGGTGATTTTAAAACGGCACAGCAAAATGCTTGCAAAACAGAGCTGAAAGCACAACTGTCAAACAGTCAAATATAAACTGGAACGTCACCCTAAGAATTAATAAAACTTGGCACAATAAAACTTTCACTTCTCTGTCTCAATATAACTGAACTGACAGGAGTTACAACAGCTAGTGGTGGTGAAATCTCATAAGTCTTCATTATCTCTCCAACTTCCAGTAGTGGAGGTCAGACTTTCATGAGGACTGTCTGGGCATGATGCCTTTTGTGCTTTTGATGTCCATTTGTTTTAACTACCCTGGCCTGAATCCAAGCTGCAACTCATTCATCTACCCACTCTGAATGCATAATTGAACTCTGAGAACAGTCTCCAAAGCTAGAGTGCACCTCCAACATAATCAATGGCCACCATCTCTCCTGTGTGGAAACTTGCCACTGGCAGCAGCTAAGAGGCACAACCAATGAAACACCCACAGACCCTGCTCTTTAGCTATAATATATTTGTATTTAGCTAACGCTGGGTCTCGAACTGCAAAGTTTACACTGAATGTCTGCTCAGATTTGTAATGCTGTCAAATTATTCTTTAATTAAAATCATTTCTGATTTAAAGATGAGGCTGTTCTTGCACAGTTCTTGTGGAGCTATTTGTGTTTAGACCACATTTAAAAAAAAATAAGGTCTCTGTTAAAATGAAAACAAGGACTTAATAAAAAATCTTTAATATTTCTCAAAAGCAGGTGTTGAGAGAGGTACCATTTTGGTACAGAAACCAAAATTTGATGACCCTTAGTGACCTTCAGAATACTGGTAACAGAAAACATTATAAGCACGCACGCACACACACACAAATACTGTATAAGAATATGAGAAAGGAAACAATTAGTTGATCAACCTATTAACTGGGAACTATGTAGGCATGTCACCAAGAAATTGTTTCATCCAAAAATTCCAAAGACTGCCAAATTCCATCACTTGTGAGAATGCACATCCTTATGTAACTGCTTATCTTTTGTGATCATAAGCTGAATATCTGGGTTTTACAATTAAATAAACTAAATGACAATGGTTTTGGGGAAACTTTGATTCTCATGATTTTATGACATTTTAGAGACCAAAATGATTCCTTGGTACATGGAGAAAGTAATCTGCAGATTAATCCATAGTGGATAAAATCACTAGTTGCAACCCATACATACTTTATTTTTGCCATGATGTCTCACACACATTTAGTGAATTTTTTCCTTTTTTGTTCTTTGCTGTCAAATGACTGCTAGCACTAGTGAGCAACAAGGTAAGATGGCAGCACAAAATGGCACCCACTAATAAATAAATAATTGAGGATTGATACCTGATATGTTTTGTAAGCAGAATGGACGTAAATTGGAATTAATCCTGTGTTGGACTGCATACACATAGCCTATACAAGGAAACTATTACTGTTCATTAATCACTTAATAGTCTAAACATTCACAAGAACAATACATTTAAAACTACAGTGTTGAATTTACAGTCTGAGTGACTGCACATAGACCTTCTGGAGGTCTGTTAAGTAGAGAAATGACTAAGAGACACTGGAAATGAAACAGTGGAGCTTGTGTCATCTTGCCCCAGTAATTTTCCTTTACCCGGTCATTTTCCTTTAGCGGTAGACACACCCCCAAATCTGCTGCAAGAAGCTAGGAGCTCATTCATTGCGGAAGTCTACATGTATAGCCTGGGACAGTGTGATATATAGTCACACACACATTTCAGTAAAAACACACTAACAAATGGTAAAGACTGATGGAAGCTGGAGCTGCAACCCGACGCCGGTTTCCCCCACACACTGCAGCTCTAAATGGACTGACATCTCGCCATCTGACGGCCTGGGTTAAATATAGACGGTGGGCTACAAACTACTCCTGCAAGCTATAAAACCGCTAATTTAAGGTTTCAGTCGCCTTTATAAAAATCGTCAATAAACAAATAGGCCATTAGCTAACACAAGGACAAGCCTACACAAGGTTATCATCGAGGAACAAGAGCAATATGCATTTTGTAAAAAAAAGAAAATTAAGATATATTAATACATTGTCTTAGAATACACCCGTTAAATTTTGATAGTTGTTGTCTTGCCCAGAATTTGTACATAAAAAGCTGAATTAAGGGAGTTAAAGTTACCTTTCCGGCCTAACTGTGTGCAAGGACGGTGCAATCTCTCTCCCGTTCGAACAAGCAGAAAGACGTCCGTGACGCTTCGCTCTAAATAACGAGACGAAACCAGGAAGGAACGGGGAAACGGAGCGACCTCATTGGCTGAAGCTGAGTCAGGAGGTAGACGAGGGCGAGGGCGGGTGCACGTTCACCATCCTGAGTCAAACGTCCCGTGTTAGGAAGATGAGGATGCGGAATTTGTGTGTCAACAAGAGCATCGCTAGTAATAATAAGGACAATATTCTATAATATGCAGAGCAATAATGTGTTTTTATTTGAGGTGGAATATGGGAAATCATGTTTCTGTTGATATGAGGCCGAAGGAGGCAGAGTGCGGAAAATATGACGCAGATATGAGTACGTGCAGAGAGGCAGGCAGGAATCTCCAGTGCAGTGGTTCGCCACTGGTCACGTGAGAGATCGCGTCTTTTGGCACTGACTTTACTTTTCACGGATTTCACAGAATCTGTAATAAGTGAGAGGTGTGTGGAGTAGCTACAAAACGAGCACATCCACAAGAAGCACTGACGGGCTCTAGTTCACGATGGAGCAAAACCGGATGAAGAATGAAGACAACTCAATAATGGATCATCCTGAAACCTTGTGCGCGCTATTGCACAAATATACAATCATGAAAGTCATGTTGGAACAATTATATGTAACCTACACTTCTAAAAAAAACCTTCAAGCAAATGTAGGCGATGCCAGTTTTAGCCTATAATCTTTTGACCTTCAAATCACCTCAGTACTTGGAAGCGTTTAGATACTGAGCTCAGGGTTTACATGTCTTGAATTAATATCAGCACAGATGTTCCTTATACCTTTGTTTGTGTTGACGCATTTACACAGGAAAATTGCAAATGTTTTATTATCCCCCTATAACAGTTACACACCTAAAGTCAGTGGTACCCATCACCAGCACAATAGCTACTGGGTTAGCTTTACCATGTGTCAGCAACTCATATGGAGACACAACATGAATGACAGTGGGTTTCCCCCTTTCTGCCTGACGTTTCATCATTAGGTGTCATGCAGGTGCGCAGTTCAGTGAGAGCAGCATCCACCGCGCATCATCACAGCTGCTGGAGGAGCAGTGACGAAAGTCCACCGCAGTGACCTTGAGACTCTGCCTGTGTAAAATGCAACTGCGCCATCTGCTGCCCAGATGCTCTCACAGCAACAAGCGCCACCGGCAGACATCTCCTAGTGCGGCATGGACTGAGTTCATTATCAGTAAAAGGATATGTATGTTAATTCAACGGCGGCGGTACTGAGAAATAAGAAAAGGTGTTCGGTCTTCAAGCGCTGATCCTGGAGGAGATAACTGGTAATCCATTTATAATGGTAACTAACATGATTTATAAACGATTCAGACATGCTTTTCCTATCAGTTGTAAGCCATTAGTTTAAAAAAACATTTCATGTAATATATACAACAATCAGCCATAACATTATGACCGCTGCCAGGTGAAGTGAATACTATTGATTATCTTGTTATATGGCACCTGTCAGTGTGTGGGGTATTGTAATATAGGCTGAATGAAAAAGGAAGCAGGGGTCAAAATTTGCTTTTTGTGCGGGGCTGGGTGCTGATGTTTAGTATGCATGCTAACATTTACTAAACACAAAAGTACAGCTGAGGCTGATGGGAATTTATTAGTTTAGCAAGTTCAATACTGGTCAAAAGATTTACAACACCCCCATTTTCCAGTTTTTCTTGATGTTTTAGAAGTTTAAGTCTGGTGAATAAATGGTTCAAAGCTAAGAAGCAAACTTCCAGAGGTAAAAAATAGTCACCAAAAACTAAAAATGTATATAAATGGCATATAAAACAGGCCTCTTTCATGGAGTAAAGGCTAAATTATATTTTTCTGCAGCACTAAAAGTAAATTAAGCATTGGAAATGAAAAACTAATGCAAACAATTCTTACAGAACGAGATGAAACATCAATCTTTTACAATTTACCTTCTGAGGACTATGAATGGTGAAGGCTACATGTAGAGAAATTTTACTGAATAAGTGAAAACTTATTGCCTGCTGGTGGCACTAGAGGAAAAGTCATTAGAATGTATAACCTAAGGATCAATATCTGTAGTAGATTTTCAGAGCAGTACACCCAACTCAGTTCTTTCCATCCTGTTCATTCTAGGAGCTTTTTGGTGCATTGCAGAATAAGACATTACACTGACTTGCATGTACATTCCAAGAGTAATCGAAAGGGTTAATGTTGGACACTTTTGCCAAGGTTCTTTTTTCTGTGTGTATTTTGTGTCTATTTATGCTCAATCCTATTACACCTTCAATGTGGAAAAAGTAACCTGGCTAAGGTACAACATTTTCAACAATACCTTGCTTTGGTCATGAGCAAATGACAAGATATGTACGACAGGGAAACTGAGTCAGAGAACCAAGTACATAAAGGTGGTTGTGTAGTATAGTTAAAAATACACAAGCAAAAATAATTCACACCTGACAGTGAAAGATATTCTTGTTGAAAGTAATGGGTAAAGTGCTGTGAAAACAACATCGTGAACAGCACAGCCTACAGCAAACTTTTCCACCAGACAGGAACACAAACACATCATCATGAACAGTCTCACAATCACCAATAAACTACATGGCTGTCTGTATGCATTTGTTTATATTGTATAATGTATGTGTATGTGTTATATGTATGTTTCCTGTCTGTAATTATTTAAAAGCCCACACACAAAGTGTGTATTATTTGTTATAAATTTTATCCCATATTTAACCACTTGTACTGAAAAAAATCCAGTGGTAATATTTTTGTAAACACAGAATTAAGCTTTTGTTTAGTTTATTTGTTAAATTGTGCTGCCTGATCATGGCTTGGGCGAATCACATGACACTGTATATACACAGCCTGCAACTGAATCATATACGTCAAGCTCACCATATGCGGGCTTTAAATTACTAGGCTGGTACATTTACATCACTGAAGTAGTAAATCTTTACTTGCTTCACCTTGCTTCTTCTGTGCAAACTTCTCAGGAGGCAACTTGACATAACCATTACTGATTCCATAGATCTCGTCAATCAGACCCTCATAAGTGAGCTGTGTGGCCAAAGGGGTGAGCAGGTCAACATTACGGTCCAGAAGGAGCAGAGTGTCAAACACAGGCAGGATCTGGTTCTGACTGCCAGCAAACTCCCTCTTCATCCTCAGCATCATGTTGGCAACATGCCGTGCACATTCTCCTTTCCCATATATTTGGGGGAACCGCCACCTTATTGTGGTGGAGGGGTTTGAGTACCCGAGCGATTCTAGGAGCTATGTTGTCGGGGGCTATATGTCCTGGTAGGGTCTCCCAAGGCAAACAGGTCCTGGGTGACGGGTCAGACTAAGAGCGGTGCAAAAGCCCTTTATGAATAGATTAAGATAGATTAAGCCTGGAGCCAGGCCCGGGGTTGGGGCTTGAATGCAAGCGCCTGGTGGCCGGGCCTCCCCTTACGGGGGCCCGCCGGG